TCCCTGCCCGGCGCGGGCACCAAGATGGCTCCGCGCTTCCCAGCTTCACCTGCGCCACCCCCCCGCCAGCTGAGCCCTACTTCCGCCGCGGCGCTTCCGGCTTCCGCTGCCGGGGCTCGGCGGGCGCGCGGGGCATGTCGGGACAGGCGAGCGCTGTGTATTGAGGGACCGCGGGCGTCCCGCACCTCCCAGAGGGGTGGGCCGAGTCTCGACCCGGCCCGGCGGCCTTGCCTTGCTCTTCGGGGTCAGCGAGGAAGGGATGAGTGGAGACAACTGCCTGTGGAAAACGGAGTGCCCGGTAGCCGGGTTCGGCTCCCTGTGAAGGCGGGCGTCCCAAAGGAAGGCCACGGTGCTTGGCCGGGGCCTGGCGGTCGCTTCTTAACAAACGGGTGCACCCGGGAACATGCCGGAGCAGCGGCTCGCAGGGCGGTTTGGCTTTGAAGGGCTGTAATAAAACGAAAGCTTGCCTGTTGTACCTGCACGTACTGCCAAAGGCAATGGGACAGGATGAGTTTTGCTAAAATGTGAGAGTTTACCACCAGAACATAATGCAGACAAGTTGCATGAGGTAGAAATAACAGCTGTGATCATCTGATTCGAAATGAAATAAATACCAAACCTCACACTAACGTTTTCTATTAAACCCCAAGCACTAGTCTGAAAAGATGACCACGGAAAGAACACAAAGGAAATAAAAAATTAGGGCAATATGGGTCTTAGAATAAGAAGCCTTGTTCAAAAATATCAGTCAAACCACAATGACCTCTTAGGCCAAAAAAGCCCCTTGTTCTCTAATGCAGGCCCCAGGGAAGGAGGCAGGTATCTAGGGAGTTGCAGGAGTCAACACCTCCAAAATGAAAACACAAGAAGTAACTCACATGCTAGTTTTGTAAGGAGATGCATAGGTTAGGCAAGGTTGTAATATCCTACCCTCCCCTGAAGGGTGGGGTGGGGGCTTGTTCTTATGTATGTAATGCTTAGCCGGTTTAAGATCTTGCACACAAAGATGCATTACCAAAACATCCATCAACTGTAGGAAGTACGTTTACTTGTGTAAATGTCAGATCCTTCAGTGCCTCCTAGTATACTATAACTTCTGGGAAGGGTCAGAACGCTGAGCAAAGGAAGGTGGTAGCTTTCCTACCAGTAGAGAAAAAATGAGAGTCCACAGCCTCCTACTCCTGAAATCTTTCTCCCAAACTTCATCTAACAATGTGTTGCTTGTCCAAATCCACTGATCTAAAAGTACTTACACAATTCTTTTCAGGAATCCTATTGAGGAGATATCTGAGGTAATAGTCAGATACACAAGAAAAGTATTTGCTTCATGTCCTTTTACATATAATATTTTTTAACTGAATAAACTCTCACAACATTACTGGACTTGCTGTGCTTTTTTACTCAGAAATTTTTGCCATCAGGCTATCCATATACATTTTCATTTCACAGGAAGAGCTCATTTATACTCATGCACACATACATATGGCAAGGCTTAGCATCTGATGGGTGATACTATCTTTAATATTCTGTTACACAAAAATATGTGTTTCAAAGCCTATTAAATCAATTCAGGATATCTGAAATTCAGACTCTTTCTTGATGAAAATAAAAGAATTGCCTAGAACCTGGTTTTCAGCTATTGAGGAATACTATTAATTAACAATAGTTGTTGTAATTTCTGTATGAGCTGATGACACACAGTTGGGCAATTAGGTAATTACTGTGCTCAGTCCCTTTCTACAGTGTGCAGGGGCAGACAGAGAGTGATACTTAGCAGGGCCTGGAGACTTAGAGCATCGAGTAGAGTAAAATGCTTTGCCCTTAGTTCTGCAAAGTCAAAATGTTTAGACCTTGGTTCCACAAATGATAGGATACTTGATATCCTCAAAACCACCACAGCAGTATGTCAGTGCTGAGCTGGTGCAAAGTGACTCTCCTGATAGAAAGTTCACAGATGTCTGAAGGAGGATCTTCATCAGTGTAACTCTAGCTAGTACCACAGCATTCTTCACACTTGGTACTTCACTGTCTAGCTCATGGGTTCTTCTTTTCCTTTTTTCTGTTGTCAATGATCTGAGGTTCAGGAATATCACTTTTGTTTTCTTCAGGTAGGTTTAGTCCAAGTACCCTCTCACCTATGAATTTACCAGAACTGGAGTTTTGTTAACATTTTATGAAATTACTTGGATTAAAACTACCTCAAAATGCAATGTAATACCTAACAAACAAAAATTTTGATCTGATCAACCCAAAGTGGCCCAAAATCATAGCCAAGGTCAAAACAACTCAGTCACAGTGCAACATGCAAACGTGATGATTGTCTTCATCCTTCAGAAAAAGCATAGTTTTCATCCAGCATAGCCCACTGCAGTCTTACCAGGCAGAGGTACGGGAGCTGTTTGGTTTTGGGAGGTGAAAATTTCCATGCATGCACTGTTATGAGAATTTGAGGAATGATGCAGTTATCTGAGCACCTGCTCAGGTGCTCTTGTGGACACCTCAGTGACCCAAGTCAACGCAGAGTACAGGTTCTGACCTGGTCTCATAAGACAACTGTCAGTAATGAATACTCCTTGTCAGCAGGGCTTCTGTTCCATGGTTTGAGGAGGATAATCACCTCTTGAACTAAGATGCAGAAATAATTCTCCAATTCAGCAGGGCAGAGCTTGGGGCTCACCAAGTTCAAGGACAGTTTTCATACTCCAGTAGAAGGAAAGAAGGTAAGAACAAGAATACTATGAGAGAAGAGACTATGAGGGAGCAGGGTGATTCTCCCAAGGTCAAGCATCTGAATCAAATACTCCAAGAAGATGTCCAGTCTCTAGAATCTGTGGAGGGTGGGATGAGGGGACACTACTCCAGGTAAGAAAGTCTTGCTTAGTGCATCCCTTCATTAATTTGAGATGGTTCTGTTTTGTCTTGATTTGTTTCTGGGTGCTCTGCCAAGTGCTGGGCTCTGCCAAGAAGCAGCTCTCAGGCTCTCTGCTCTCACTGTTTCTGTCTGAGTGCACACGCCTACTGCATGCCATGCTGGTATCACAGCCAGAACCTCCCAGCCTGTCCATCTTGCAGGGCATGCCCACCACGCTGTCTCCCCAGCCTTGGTCTGGGGAGGTGCAGCACTACCCTACTCCAGGTGTCTTGTCCATTCTTACACCTTGTCCTGAACTCCCTGTGTCTGATGCAGCTGGCAACAACTCTGAAGCAAATGGACACATGCACAGAAAAGACAATGAAGATGCATTTCTACAGTGTGCACGAAATTTCATATAACAAAGTGAGGCCTGTTTGCCACAGGGTTGGTGACTGTTCCTCAGTGCTGAATACTGAAAGAAAACAGAGGTGAAAATGGCTTTTCATGTTTTTCACCATGTTAATGGTTGGTTAATGCCAGACTGCGAATGATATCCTGAGGCTGGCTTGATGCTTCTCCCAAGACTTTTTCCCAGGTGGTGGCTAAGGTTGGTAACAGGTTGTTCTTCAAAGCAATCTACCACACATGTCCCCAGAATGCTTCAAAAGGTCAAGCAGGCTAGTGGAGGCAGGACATTGTGTGAGCCAGGTACAAGACAGCATGCCGTAGCACATCATGGCAAAGTTCTATCTTGTGTTCTAGCTAATCCAACAGAAAAGTTTTCCTGTGTTGATGTCCAACTGAATCAAATTTGTGCTGCCAAATGATCTGTTAGTGCACAGCACAAGCAGTAATTTGAGAGACACACCTGCCTGATAATGGGAATTCTGGCAGGTTACATCAACAGCAGTCTGGGTCAAGGGCATTGCAGAGAATCTCTGCCACATGAGAAAGCAGAGATGCAAGAAGGTATCACAATACTTCGTGGAGTGTTGCATGAAAACAGGGTTTCCCCTGCAGGAAAATTGTTTCTCTGATGAGGAAAAAATTTGGAAGATTATAGGAGTCTAAAAATTTTTTTAAAATAGCTGAAATTTTGAAGTGTATTTTGATGATGGAAAAGGAGATGAAAGAATAGAAAATAAGAAACTAAACACATTGCATCCAAGGAATGAAGAGGTAGATACAGGTAAGATTCAGCACCCAGACCTAGATGTTGTGGTACTTGAAATGGCATTCATGAACAGGGACGGCATAAGCCTGGTGCTACTCACCAATATCTTTTGTCAACCTTATGTGCAACACAGTACTGTTAACTTTACCAGAATCCAGTAGAGAATACACATTACATCAAGAAAGGGAAGAGGAGAGGAGGAACAGTAGAGAGATTCATTAATGTGACATGCTTCAGTTATAAGGGTGAGTCAGCACATTATGTTTAACTGC